AGTGATTTAAAGGCTATATACCCACAATCATGCACTCGTCAACAATGTAAGATTTTTATGCGATTGCGTATGGGACATTCAAAGCTTTTTCATGAACACCTTTTGAGTGGCGATCAGCCATCAAACTGTCCATTTTGTAATAGCACACCATCCATAGATCATATACTTAAAGATTGACCTTTTTTTAATTCTATTCGTAGTAATATCTTTCCTAATATCTCACTTACCAGCGTTTTAAAAACAATTACTGTTAAAAATATACTTTTGATGTATAATTAAATTAAAGCCTGTAATCTAGTAAATAAAATTCAATTTATAAAATCCGAGCTGAAGGCCCTGGCAGCTCGCGCTCTTTTTTCTGATCTTAGTTATAAGATTTTATATTTTGTAATTAATTATAATAAATAAAAAATTTAAGACTTTAATATATACACTCAGCGGAAAAACTCTGCGTACAGAAAATAAATTTTGTTTTTACGTATAAAAAATAAGTAATTAAATAGACTTTTTTAATTCAATTTTAAGTTTTATTACTACTTTAATGCCTTATATTCATTTTAAGCTAAAACTTATTCCTATCAGTTTAGTATAAAAATTTAATATTTAAAAATACAACCAAATATCTCTATAGCGAACCTCCCTATAACGAAATTTTGTTAAAGACATTGCTTTTTTATATATTTGATCCTCTTTATAGTGAACCTCTCTATAGCGAACTCATTTCTATAACTAAGTTTTTTCAGGTACGTAAAGAAATTTTTGCATAGAAAAGAACCTCTGTATACTAAATTTATTCAAATGCAAGTTAGACAGTCAACTAACACATTTTAACTTACAAGAAGCTTCTTTGCAAGCTGTATCATAGGAATAGGAATAGGAAATAACAGGGTACTAGCTCCCATTTGAGCAGAGCACTGCGACCATGATTGATCTTTTGTGCTACAACAGACCCTAACTGAACAAAAGACATTCCGCCTTTCGAACGAAGATCAAAATGTCGGTTGTTGAGGACTTCCTAATATCGGAAGGTGAAAGCAATTCCCGACCCAGTGATTTCCTTCTGGCCCAGATCAAAGCTGGGCAGTCACATAAAATGTGGCTGGTTGTCTCCTCTGCCTCTAAGCAGAGTCTACAATCTATCTCTTCAGATAGGCCCATTTTGTTGAGATGGTAACGTAGCCCATGGTGACCCGTTAGATATCCCACTAACAACCTCAACTCTGTTCTGCTGAAGGAGGATATCTTATTGTAACTATAAGGGAGAACCAGCTGTTTAGCCTGACGGTTACCTCGACTGTCGCGCCAGTAGCGACTTCTCTCGGTTGAGATCCAATCATTGATTAGAAACCTAGTTGTAGACCAACTTAATCCACAGAAAGGTTCTGGGCCACAAATTAGAGTGGCGGATCCTGCCCGTGCAAGACTATCGGCAGAATCATTTCCATGAATTCCTGTGTGACCAGGCACCCAGCACAGTGTCACTTTATTATTGCTTGCCAGCTGCTGTAGTGTGTCATAACAGTCTGCTAGAAGCTTTGAGAAAAACTTCCAGGAACATAACGCTTTGATTGCTGCTTGACTATCTGAATAAATACAGATTCGGGCGCCTTTCAACCCTTTGTTAATGTTGATACGAGCGCAGACCTCGATGGCGTGAACCTCTGCTTGGAAGACAGTGGGCCATATACCCAGCGCGAGCGAGATTCTGGTGTTAGGACCAAATATTCCAGCACCAACTCCTTCTTTGGTTTTTGAGCCATCAGTATACCACGAAATCACTTTTGGTTCAAATCCAGGAGTGCCATTTACCCAGTCCAATCGATCGGGTATGAGGACTTCGAACTTCCTACCGAAGCGAAGTTCCATGTTCATGCGATCTGTCCTATCGCAGATCTCTATGCCAGGAACTAGTCTGTAGATAGAGTTTTGACTGACGAGACTTCCGTGCATGTCGATGACAGGGTGTAGCCTAGCTGCACTCATAGCTGCTGTCTTTTTAATAAAGAGATGCAGAGGGGTGAGACCCACTATGGACTCCAGTGCTGATGTGGGACATGTTCTAATAGATCCCGTCATAGCGATACATACGAGTCTTTGCAGTTTATTGCATTTGACTATTGCAGCATTTTGTTGCGCCTTATTCCACCAAACAAAAGCTGCGTAAGATACAATGGGTCTGACCATTGTGCGGTATAACCATGATATAATTCTAGGACTTATGCCCCAGGTTCTACCATATGCGGTCCTACATGTCCACATGACCCGGGTGGCTTTGCCAATTATATTATTCAGGTGAGTGTTCCAGTTAAGACGCTTATCTAGGGTGACCCCTAAATATTTGACTTCATCGGAGTATTCAATAGCCGTATCCTTAATAGATAGGGACCCAATATTTACTTTGTACCTTCTGGAAAAAGGCACAATTACCGCTTTTTTGGGTTAATACTTAGGCCTTCTTTGATACACCAGTTCGAGACTTTGTGTAATGCCGCCTGCATTACGTCTGTAACTGTGGTGTCAAATTTACCTGTTACAATGATTGCCAGGTCATCTGCATAACCTATGGCATGATACCCAGATTGCTCCAGTTTAACTAGTAAGTCATCGACTACCAGCGTCCATAACAATGGTGAGAGAACCCCACCCTGGGGGCAGCCCCGTACAGCATTAATGCTTACGATAGTGCTGCCTAACTTGGAGGATATGTTCCTATCACGCAACATTCTATCTATCCACGTTATTGTACATGAGTCTATATCTTTACGGGCCAGTGCTCCAGATATGGATTCGTAAGATGTGTTATCGAAAGCTCCCTCTACATCCAGAAATGCACATAAGGCGATCTCTTTAGATTGAAACGTGCTTTCAATTTTGCTGACTTAATGATACAGCGCGACCTCTGTAGATTTGCGTTTTGAGTAGGCATATTGGGTGGAGTGGAGTGGGACAGTTTGTTCCAATTTATTCCGTATGTACAGATCAATCAGCCTTTCGACGGTTTTCAATAAGAAAGACGTAAGACTAATGGGTCTGTAGGACTTTGGTTGGTCCATAGGTTTGTTCCCAAGTTTGGGAATAAAGATCACGTTCACTCCTCTCCAGGAATGAGGGATATAACCCATAGTAAAACAAGCCCTAAAGAGTTTTATTAATGGGTCTATGATGATGTCTATACAATTCTGCAATAGAGCAGGGTAGATACCATCGCCTCCAGGCGCCTTAAATGGTTGAAATGAGTTGATCGCCCATTTCACCTTGTCCCTGTCAAAGATAACACCAGATAGTGCGTATTCCTGACATGTAGGAGCAGTAACTTCCCTATATGAATGTGATGGTGGTCCGGTTACGGAGCCAGGGAAGTGTGTTTGCAAGAGAAACTCGAGGGTATCTTCACGACCAGTAGTGAAGGATCCGTCCGGTTTTTTTAAAAGGCCTACTTCATTTGTTTTGACCTTATTTAAAGCCTTGTGTAGTCTAGCAGCCTCAGGCAACCTATCAATACTATCACAATGGCTAGTCGGTGAGTGCTGTTCTATAATGTTCCCAACTACCAGAGCGTTTTGCTCTATTGAATAAGCTTCTTACTAGTTTACGCTTATTAGCTAGTTGCGAGTTCCACCAAGGAACCTTACCTCTAATTGAAGCATTACCTGCAACCGTGCTGTTGTGAAAGGAGGTCAGTAAAACCTCACCTAAATGGTTTGCAGCCAACTCTATCTCTTCACGAGTTCTTAGTGGCCTAGCTAGAGAAAAATTTTCGGAACCCACCAAGTCCCTGTACCTAAGCCAATTGGTTTTCTTTGGTCGGTACACTTTATCTTGCTGCTCGGATATACCGGGAATTTCAAACCTAATATGTTGATGGTCTGAGAGGGACACTTCGTCCGACACTCGCCAGTTCCATATAGATTCCTCAATACCTCTGGTGCAAAGAGTGAGATCTAATACCTCTTCTCTAATTGCATTAATAAAAGTGGGTTTACTACCTTTGTTAGCTATACTTAATCCTATCGACATAATATAATCTAATAGGTACTCACCCCTTTTGTTATCGTTGCTGCTCCCCCACACTGTGTGGTGAGCATTAGCGTCACAGTCCAAGATTAGCTGTCGCCCAGTGGACTTGCAGAAGTTGATCAGCTGCTGGACTTCCGATGGTGAATGGTTACTTCATCACCTGGGAAGTAGGCAGAGGCCATGACTATATCTGTGGCCCCTCCTAGTGTTGGGACTTCGACTAGAACCGCTGCTAGGTCTCTAGAAATAAAGTTGGTTAACGGAAGATATTTTACATCTCCACCGATTAGGATAGCTGCACGTGGCACTGCTATCGAACGGTCATAAACCGGCTTACCTGATTTAGTGTTGAGACCCCGTATTTGGCCATCAAACACCCACGGCTCTTGGATAAGTCCTAGAGCGATGTTATTGATTTGGGCAATTCTGCACAAGGTGGCCGATGCTCCCTTAGCATGGTGCAGATTTGCCTGGAGCACTTCAAGAGCGCTCATTATA